TTTTATATCAAATTAAAGCTTAAAAAATAAATTTTTAGGATTCCTTGATGAAATTTTTTTTCTGTGGATGTATAAAAATATATAGGCATTTGAAATTACATAATTTTAAAAGTACAAAAAATATGAAAATATCAAATTTTTTTCAAAGCCTCTAGAAACCAAAAAACTGCCATTATGCAAGTCATTTTTATTTTAAATTGGAGAACTTAACATATTTTATTAGTTTTTATGATGAAAAGTAATATTCATTTACAAAAAAATATTAAGGCAGGACAAAATTATATATTAATATTTTTGTCGGTCTGTGACCTAAAAAAACAACATTTTTTAAGTTTATTAAGTCATGCAGCTTCCAACCACTGTGAAATTCATAAAACCATTGCAGCTTTTAGGCTAACATTCGATGACAAGCTTGTTTAAATTTTTGGACTTATTTATTCATATTTTTATTACATTAATTTTAGTCGGTCTGTGACTAAATTAGTCACAGACCGACCTGTCGGTCTGTGACCAATGATATTACAATAATGTTTAAGCAAACTTTTCTCTGTAAAGTTGCTTATGTCCAATAAACAAAATTAAAATGACAAAAGACATAGGCCTGGGAAAGTTTCTAAGGAAATATAATGATTTATTGGAAAACAACTATGATTTGCTTCATAATAGAGCTCCATAAACAGCTACCTAATTGGGTATAATGAACCATGCGACTATGTATTCGGAAGCTGAGTGGTTAAAATGTTTAAGATACATAAACCTGTAGTTTAGTGGCTCACTTGTCACTTGAATATCATTCAGTTCACATCTTGATTTCAACGTTTAAATAGTTAACATTCATTATGCCATTAACGTCTAAAGAAAAAACAGCACGCTATCGACAACGTCTAAAGGATGAAGGGAAGTATGACATGATGAAAGAGCGAGATATGAAGCGGAAACAAGAAAAAAGGAAGAATATGACAAGCAAGGAGCGAAAGAAGTATTTAGAAAAAGAAAGAGAGTACAAGAGGAAAAGCAGAGAAAGACTCGAAGACATTAATCTAACACCAAAGCAAACTATGGGAAAATTGATGAAACGGACAGAAAAAAGTTTGCCTAGTAGTCCTAGAAAGAAAAGCAGAGTTTTGAGAAAACTTGCCAAGAAGTTTGTAATTGAGAACGATGGTAACTGCCAGCAATGCCCTGGAAACAGTCTACCAGATTCTACAGTAAAGGCTGTTGCAGATTTCTTTTGCAGAGATGACATATCTTGGCAGAGTCCAAACAGAAAGGACTATGTGTTGATAGAGAAGGTGCCAGTGCAGAAGCGTTTTTTAATCATGTCTCTCAAAGAATGCTACCAACTATTCATCAGCGAGAATCCCACCATCAAGATCGGAGTTTCTAAATTTTGTGACCTTCGCCCAACTCATGTAAACTTGTCAAATGCCTTTCCTCATAATCAGTGTATGTGCCGATATCACGAAAACTTTAAACTATTGCTCGAGGCTCTGAAAAGGGAAACGAAGACAAATGTGGCAACAGATTTTCATTTCTTGACTCGATTACATGTAACCAGGACAATGATGAATGTCTTTTAAGAGAATGCAATGACTGTTCTTCAAAATGTAACGAGCTATATAGCTTTGATGATCTTAACAAAGAAGATCATGCAAAATGGCTACAGTGGATTACTAAAGACGGTCATGCTGAGAAGGTCCAAGTTCAAGGAACACTCGAAGACTTGATCGAAGAACTTATGAAACAACTGAAACCATTCTGTCTGCATACATTAATTAAGAGAAAACAAAGTTTGCATTTCAAAAACGAGAAGAAACGTGCTAGCGATCTGTATGCTGTGATGCAAGTAGATTTTGCGGAAAACTTTACGATCATACAACAGAATGAAATCCAGAGTGCACATTTTCACCATACACAAGTAACGCTTTTTACCGCTTGTGTTTATACTGGTACAGCAGATGAAAACATTCACTCATACACTCTAGTGAGTGATGACATTAGACATGGCAAGCATCAAGTGGCAGTGTTTCTTGATTATTTGATCAGCGACATTAAGGCAAAATATACAAATCTTGAGACAATGTCTGTGTTTAGTGATGGAGCTGCAAGTCAGTTCAAACAGAAGTACTTGTTCGAGAATTTGACCTTCTTCAAGGA